ACAGTTCATCATAGAGAAAGTGTGTTCTGGTCAGTTAAAACTTCACAAGCTGTAGATATTTTAGCAACTGAAATTTTGCGAGACAGTGTAAATTTTAGCCTATTGGTTAAAATGTTGGCTCATCAAGCCAGGGATCTGGGTTTGATTCCCCACATGGGTGTGTACCCGTAATGTGTGAAGTCTCTTTATGGTGTTCCCCTGTCATAATAAGGCTTCAATGTTACCTGACATGGCATAAGGTGTTGTTACTAGAACAATCCACATTGGAGCCACCTACTGCCACCTACTGCCACCTGTAGCCAATTGATCCACATTATTACTGCCCCATCCATATTCCTACAACATGAGGGAGGTCGGGTAGGCTAGTGGTTAAAGCATTCGCTCGTTATGCCGAAGACCCGGGTTTGATTCCTGACATGGGTACAATGTGTGAAGCCCATTTCTGGTGTCCCCTGCCGTCATATTGCTGGAATATTGCTAAAAGCGGCGTTAAATCAAACTCACTCACTCACTCACTCCTACTACATGATCCACAATGTTTCCGCTTGATCCGCCTTGTTACAACACAATCCACATTGTTACCACTAAATCCACATTGTCACCACCCAATCCATAATATGGCCATCTGATCCACATTGTTTCCGCTTGATCCACATTGTTACAACACAATCCACATTGTTACCACTAAACCCACATTGTCACCACCCAATCCATAATATGGCCATCTGATCCACATTGTATCCACCTGATCCACATTATAACCACCTAAATCACATTGTATCTGCCTGATCCACATTGTATCCACCTTATCCACATTGTTACCACCTGATCCACATTATAACAACCTGAATCACATTGTATCTGCCTGATCCACATTGTATCCACCTTATCCACATTGTTACCACCTGATCCACATTATAACAACCTGAATCACATTGTATCTGCCTGATCCACATTGTATCCACCTTATCCATATTGTTACCACCTGATCCACATCATAACAACCTGAATCACATTGTATCCACCTGATCCACATTGTATCCACCTTATCCATATTGTTACCACCTGATCCACATTATAACAACCTGAATCACATTGTATCTGCCTGATCCACATTGTATCCACCTTATCCATATTGTTACCACCTGATCCACATCATAACAACCTGAATCACTTTGTAACCACCTGATCCACTTTGTTACCTCTAAATCCACATTGGGTTACATTGTTACCACCTCATTCACATTATAACCCCACCTGATCCAAATTGTTACCTCTAAATTCACATTGGGATACATTGTTACCACCTGATTGTTACCACCTGATCCACATTGTTACCACCTGATCCACATTGTTACCTCTAAATCCACATTGGGTTACATTGTTACCACCTCATTCACATTATAACCCCACCTGATCCAAATTGTTACCTCTAAATTCACATTGGGATACATTGTTACCACCTGATTGTTACCACCTGATCCACATTGTTACCACCTGATCCACATTGTTACCTCTAAATCCACATTGGGTTACATTGTTACCACCTCATTCACATTATAACCCCACCTGAATCACATTGTATCCACCTGATCCATATTATAACTACCTGAATCACATTGTTACCACCTGAATCACATTGTTTCTACCTTATCCACATTGTAACCACCTGATCCACATTGTAACCACCTGATCCACATTGTAACCACCTGAATCACATTGTATCCACCTGATCCACATTGTTGCCACTAATTCCACATTGGGATACATTGTTCGACCGATGTTATAGGCACCTGATCCACATTGTAACAACCTGATCCACATTGTTGCCACTTATTCCACATTGGGATACATTGTTACCGCTCGACCGATGTTATAGGCACCTGATCCACATTGTAACAACCTGATCCACGTTGTAACCACCTGAATCACATTGTATCCACCTGATCCACATTGTTGCCACTAATTCCACATTGGGATACATTGTTACCGCTGGACGATGTTATAGGCACCTGATCCACATTGTAACAACCTGATCCACATTGTTGCCACTTATTCCACATTGGGATACATTGTTACCGCTCGACCGATGTTATAGGCACCTGATCCACATTGTAACCAGTCAGTCCACATGATCCACATTATATAAACCTGAATCACATTGTATCCACCTGATCCACATTGTAACCACCTGAACTATATTGATAATAAGGCTGGAACGATACACCAACTGTGCGATCCGATACATATCACGATACCTTTCTCACTATCCGATACGTATCACGATACTTGTGTGGTGCGTGAGCCGTGTTTTTCATAGACAGGACTGCCAAATACCTGGCACACTGATGATTTACAGTTCACAGTGTCAAGTATGGCACAACAGATGTAAATATTTATGCTTTCACTATTAACTTGCACTACTGATTAGTGTTTACTGGAACAGTTATTAAATCAAACATTTGAGGCCAGAATTGATATTTTTTACTTAGTGTGTGACTGTCATCGATACTTGTATCAAGACGAAAAAAATTGCGATCCACCAATGCATCGGTGGATCGTCCCACCACTAGTTAATAATAGCCACCTTATCTGCCGTGCACCTTGACTTAAGTTAAATAGAGTCCTTCACATCTCAGATTTGATAGTACTAAATTTGATATGTGATGTAGAAACCTCAGGCCTCAAATTTCAAGTTAAAAAAGCTCTGCAGTGAGTTTATCTCCTGACTGGATGCAGATAGAGAGGGCTGTTATCTGACATCTAATACTCCTTTGTCTGGTCTCAACACAGACAGGGGAGGTCGGGTAGTCTAGTGGTTAAAGCGTTTGCTCGTCATGCCAAGGACACGGGTTCGATTCCCGACATGGGTACAATGTGTGAATCCCATTTCTGGTCTCCCCGCCGTGTTATTGCTGGAATATTGCTAAAAGCGGCGTAAAACCAAACTCTCTCACTCCGACACAGACAGATTACTTACATTATGCAGTCCCCTATAAATCATGGGTGATACGTTTTTCTTAGTCGATTTACTTCTTCACAAATTCTACAAAAAGTGTAAGAACAAACAACCAAAATGAAAAGTACTATTTCAGTTCATTGTGATCAATGCAAAAATATGTGTTGGCCCAGACTGACTATATTTACTCAGCACATATGGCATCTATTTAAAAACAAGAAAAATCTATTATAATCAATGTTTTTTCTTAATTTATTTCCCCTCCTACTGTCAAGAATTTTTCACCAAATTGTTATTGAACAAGAATAAAAAGTCTTGCCTAAATTGTAAAACACTATTCATATCAGGTCCTTTAAGAAGAGTACGGTACATAGACGAGTGTGGTACATGTTGCTGATGTTTAGGAGAAACAGGCCATTGAGGATGCCAGGATCAAAGTGATGACTCGTGTTAATATGATGATGAGCAAATTGGGTAGACCTCCACTTGCGCCAGGGAGTTGCCAATATATGCTTGAGGGGGTTCCTCTATCTCAACTTGCCAATTATGTCAAGTGGTGCCAGCTCGCCACACTAAACTGCTGACATGATGAAATGTATCTCTTCTGGTGTATACATAAATGTTATCCTATGTAGTGTTTGTTATCAAGGATAACAGCTGAGGTAACGGATAGAACGTTGTGCATATGAAACATGCATTAAGTCCTGTATGTTGGGTAAATGGTGCTTTGCTCGGATACTAAGAATTATGACTGTGTTTAGGTGCTCCCTTTATATGTTTAAGATAAAAGCCTTTTTATCAGCATCTTCCATGGGAAATTAGATAATGGCTTTGCCCTGACATGTCCAAGAACATGACTTGAGAAGCAATTGCCTTGTTTAAACTATCATGGGTTTTAAGTTAAAGGGAATGCAAATGGTTATGGTTTAGAAGGAGTAATTGTGTGCACGACATGTTACAACTGATTTGTAAACCTACTTAGAAGTGAGTGTTAGTATTTCAACAACTTGATACCTGCTTTGTGTTAAGGGTGGGGTAGCCATGTAGTTACAAGCTCTCACTCATCACGCTGAAAATCGGGTTCGATTTTTGTCATGGGAACAATGTGTGAAGCTTCTTCCTATTGTCGAGCCCAAGCAATATCTCCTGTGGGAGCCAGTTTTGGATGATAAAGAAGTATAAAACCCAACTCACTCTTTGTGTTCATTGAACAACTGTAAATGTCGTGTATCTGGAGTGTTGGGGTGGGGAATGGTGGTTGGGAGGAGGGGGAATGGTGGTTGGGAGGAGGGGGATGGTGGTTTGGTGTGTGATATGCCACTGAAGAAATAGTGCAGACATTTTGACCAATATAATTTCATCCGGAGGTATCCAAAACGATGGCAGGATGCTTTTTATTTTTAAACTGTTTCAAGCAACTGTATACATAACTGTTATGAAGCCTTAATGTTTTGAAGGAGTATGTCTGTCATTTCACTAAGTAGCTAGAAGGGGGACCCGCCAGTGCTATTATCTTCACCTGCAGAGACGGGGGCACGGGTGGCCTAGTCGTCTAAGGCGCCGCGATTCGCTGTGCAGAGTTGCGTCCCTTGGGCATGCCAGAAACCTATGATTGTGGGTTTGAATCCTGGTTCACCCCAATTATGTATCTAGGTAGGCAGCACCATACCCGTGCTCGTGGGTTTCACCGAAGTGGTAAACGTCGGAGACCTGCATCACTTCGGGCTTTCCTCCCACATTAAGCTGACACGCCGTGATATAACTGGAATATTGTTAAAAGCGGCGTTAAACTCAACTCACTCACTCGCTCACCTGCAGAGACAATGAATTGATGTGAGGTGGAGTGTTTGGTATTGAGGTAGGGTGGTTATGATAATTAATTTATTATGGTCTTAATTGAACCTGTGTGAATCCAGCCTGACATTTGGATGATGAACACAGTGCAAGACAACCAAATGTTTTTTTTAATTTCTTAAAAAAGTATTTTCATTACATTGAAGGTATGAAATCAATACAAAAAATCCTATTTATATTATTTCAGACATGAGGAAGGCTCTATCTCGAGATGTTGAAAAGAAGTCTGTCATACCGCTTGCCCACCCAGTCCGGCCGGAGGAGTTGGACTGACCATGACTCAGGAGGGTAACCATGGAGATCTGCTGTGGGGGACACTCATGTTTGCCGGGCTTCTGTTAGGGGCCATCTTGGCCCTGATTGTCACGGAACTGATTGTGCGACAGCCTCTCCGTTTTCCCCCGTTACCGCAGACGGATGATCACGAAGAGCTGTAGCTGGTTAGATGGACAGAAACTGAAGAAGTCATAGATTTGTCATTCTTTTCAAATCCTACATAGCATGCAGATGTTTAGTTGGTAAAATTCTCATATCTGATTTCCCTAAAATGTCCTCTACTGCACTGATTAATTCTGTAGTCTGTGTGCCTCACTCTGCCAATATGGAAGGTTTGTATGTGTCGGGATTTAAACTTTGTGATTACACATGTTGTGTACACTATCAATGTGATGACATCAGTGGTATATGGACACTTGTATCATGAAGATAGGTCCAAAAATAGGCCGAGTCTGGAAAAAAGCCACTCAAGACATCAGCCAGTCAGATGTCTAGATGCTCAACTATGCATACAATCGCAGTGATACATTGTACCTGCAATGCTAGTTAACATTGAAATATTAAGTATTGACATTCATATGATATATACCCAGTTTATTGTGATCATCAGATCTACAGATAAGCTGCGTATTTGTGTGAAATACCCTCCAAAACTATTCAAAACCCAATTACTTTCAATTAACTTGCGTACAGAAACACATGCATTAAATGAAAAACTTAATTGTTTGAAAACACCACGCATAAATACCCAACGAAGCTTTTTCAGCTTGCGTACAACGGAGCTAATTTCTGAAACACAATTACGAGCTAATTTACATTCCGAGTCAAGCCTATATTTAGAACCGTTATATATATCTAAAACATTATTTCATTATCTCAAAATGCTTACTCTTTTGGGGAAAAACCCAATAGAGTGATGAATAGATGGGTGAAAAAATATTGGTTACCCAATGAAAAATGTAATAACCCAATTAAAATAGAAACCTTTGAGTAAAAACCCAATTGCTCAAACAGTCATCTGGAGCTCTGATTCATTGCTTCATGAAGTGTAATGCCTTAGGCTTGACCAGTACTGTGGGATGACAACACAACACCATCTGTTACGGCCTCCCAACACTATTATGTTTAAGGAGCCCGTATGGTTTCGTAACGCTAACAGTTGGGTAACTTGGTAACTGCTTGCTCCAAGCTCATAAACCAGCAGACAGCGGAGACATGTTTGATTGTCAATCTGCATTATTCTGATCAACGAAAACTGTAGTTATTTTTATGACCTGGAGAAGGGAATGGGTTACAACTGAATCTCTGCCTGTGTGAACACGTGACACAATAGCACTTGGTTGCACATCCCTTGTGACGGACACAATCAACATCTGTGAATATTCACCATGTCTATTTTACGTTTGTGCTTGCAATGAATTCATCTTGGACTGGCGCATATGGCCATTTATCACTACACATTTCACGCAGATAGAGGAGTTACTGTTTATTGTCCGCAGGTATAACGTTCCGTTCACATGTGTCACGACAATAAAGTAAATACCACCATATTAAACTAACACCTTCTCAAAGGAAGTCAACATTTTCTCATGTATCTAAAATTATTCTACAGTGTACGAATAAAAATAAATATGTTTTACATGCAGCTATCCAAACATTAATCGCAAGTCTGAGACACACCCACTCAGCTATGAATGATGTAGTTTGGGTGTAAGTCTTGCAAGGTTGAGTGATGATTGACTCCCAGGGCCACATGTGCACGTCATGTGATATCACTTATAAATAGCACATGGACTATATTTCCGTGTGATATCAGTTCAGACCAGACGTAATTGTTTAATGTTTGAAATGGAGGAGTCACCAGAACATAAACATGCTCTCATCTTTGCCAGTTGGTCACAGACCTCAATCTTATTGGTGAATTGTAAGTGAAAAGATCCCAGACATGACACAGTCTCCAGATTGTGTAACTGGAGACAGTCCTGTAAGCCTTATACTGTTATGGACAGTATGGTAGCCTAGCTGGTAAAGCGTTTCAATTCTCACCCCGAAGGCCCGGGTTCGATTCCTCACATGGGTACAATATGTGAAGCCCATTTCTTGTGTCCCCTGTCGTGATATTGCTGAAATACTGCTTAAAGCGGCATAAAACCTTACTCACTCACTCACTCCTAAGACTGTTACATTGTTGACCATTTAGATATTTTACACTAGAATGGCCGTCAAGCTTAATTCTTCTATACCTCTTATACATTTGTTGGGCAGTCGGGTAGCCTAGTAGTTAAAGCGTTTGCTCGTCACACTGAAGATCCGGGTTCAAATCCCGACATGGGTACAATATTACTGGAATATTGGTAAAAGGGGCATTAAACCATACTCACTCACTCACTCTTATACATATGTATGTCAAAGCTAAGTATCAAGACCATTTTAGGATCATATATCTTTGTATGATGATCATTTGTGCAATATTTGATAAAGGATATTTATCTCTCCATTTTGAATATAGGTTTCCAAGAATATTTTTCACAAATAGCATCTCATTAGCTCTTCATTTTGTTTAAATGTCCTCATGGAGAATGAAAGAGTTTTTTTTTTTTCTTGGCATTGCACTTCATGATAATGCTACAAAAAAGTTGCCTTGATAAGAGTTACTGAGTAAATAACTCTTGTAGCCTCATCTGACAGATGAATCAGCAAACTCCATCTAAAATAAACATGTTGGTGCATTTATTATGATGTTTACTGTAAAAGCATACAAAAGGTTGAAATGTACAATGTCTGGCTTTGATGAAATTGACAGAAGTTCTGACATTAAATGTGCAGCGCGGCATACAGGTATAAGTAATGTCCCAGAGGGTTGTATTTCTCCGAGTTGCCCTGCCCCTGCCTGCTGATGGGGTTTATGGGAGCCTTCATGATGTATGTACACTGATAACCAACATCGTGCAGATCCATGAAGTATGCCTGTGAAACACAGAAAATAATGTTTCTCTTTAGGGAGTCTCTGGCTTAAGCTGATGGAGCCTCTTTGGATATAGGCAGAGCAAGGATTGGATATTCTATGAATATGATATTACTAATTGGTACTTTTTGTTATAAATTTGTATGGATTGTTCCAGTTTTTGCCAAAAATAATCAAAATGGTAGTATGTATTTTAACCGATTAATACATTTCAATTGATTCCTGAGCATCTGAAAATCAAACATATGTTTTTTGACATTTAAAAAGAAAACATATTTTGATATATTTCTTTGTTTTTGAGTTTTGTAATATTCAACTAGGTTAATAATAACTGCTGAAACTTGTAATTCACGCATCTGCTTCTTGATCATCTGAAAGAATTCACAGGCTTGACATTTTGCGGGGTGACAGGTATTTCTGTCCTTGTGACAGATTGGCTGTCAATCACAAACAATTACCCTGTTGTTAATCATGATTTGCCTCCACTGTTAATCCCCTAAGACATTAACAAGACACTTGTATTATAAAGGCCAGGTGATTGTCTTCTTGCCTGTGTGTAGTCGTGTGGAAAACACCATCAACCTTGCTGTTTAACCAGCGGCCATTGTCAACAGAACTAATTGAAACCACATCCCTTTTCGGTATTGGTTCGTGAAGAAATACACCATTCACTGTGTTCGTTTGACAAATGACAAATAGGCTGTTGACTTAAAATGTGTTCAAAATATCACTGGCTTCATGAAAAATAATCCAAGACACTTTTAGGACCAGTCATTTATTACAGATGGGAAAGGGTCGAGGTTTTTGAAGCACTAATGTACTGAAAATAATTACCCTCCCCAAATGCTTGTCATATTTATGGATGACCCTCCCCATGTCCTTATACATTTATTTTATGACCCTCCCTGAAAAGACAAAATGCAAAAGCACTGTATTTTTTTTATGAAATGACCATTTTTTCATGACCCCTCCCAAATTTAGACCCTCCCTTAGAGAGACTCTCATATGTTTGGGTGCCACTCCCTGATTACCTCTTTGTGCCCCCCCCCCCCCCCCCCCCCCCCCTCCAATATAATGTGTGTAGATTTGATGGACAGTTGGTGTTTTTCAGGCTATATTTCAAACAGTGGAGGATATTTTGTATTGGTTTTGGTGTTCACTGGGGTCATTATCCCCCGTTGTTAAGTTCATGACAAATTATTCATCAACAACCTGAAAAACATCAGGCCAAAATTAAGACTTGTTAAAAGAGACTGTGAAAATAGATTATCCCTTTAAGTGCAGCTGAGGCTAAATGTTTCCTGGAGGAACAAAAGAAATTAACCAAGTCGCATCTGTCTCGAAAAAGAAAAGTCTTTGAACCAGTTTCCAAGAAAAATATGCTTTCCCTCCAGATTAGCTTCCTAGTGTTATTTAGTTGAAAATGAAAGTCGGCTTGTTTTCTTTTACAAAGTCAGCAAAAATAGAAAATACCACTGTGAAATAAAATATCATATTGTAGATTGTTTTACTGAGTGCCTCCAAATATTCTTGCATATTTGTATATTTTTATTGCCGATAAAAACAGAATGATATTTGTTCAACTTGAACCACGAACAGCCATCAGAAGAAAGGCCAACTAGAATATGCTTTATGTAGGACAATGATGGCTTTGTCAATAATAAAATACAGTAAACATGTTTAACATAGAGAATGTTAATCCTTGAACCTTTTCAATTTTTTTTTTCTGAAACATGAATCGTCGACATGAGCTCCTGATTAAATCCACCTTAAGACACCCCGATGTGTTTTGTGTGGATGTAACCCCAGGTAATCATTCAATGCAAAGAATAGACACAGAGCTGATAGATTTTCAAGTCACAAGTTGGCAGCTACATTCGCCTGGTACATGGCGGGAGCCTGAAATAGTGCTTGTGATTCCCGCTAGCATGTTGCAGCATGTTATCAGTTAAGATGCTTCAGGTTTTTGGCAGGAATTATTGCACAACGCCAGAGAACAGATGAGAAAATGTAAAAATGTAATTTCCACAAGCAGTTAAGAGCTGTGTAAGAAGCCACTTCTGATTATGAGGTCTTTGAAGGATGACAGGAAGTCTGTGAATATTGCAGGTTCTTAAAGTACACAAGTATAGAGTTAGGTAGACAGGAGTGTTTCCTCTCTGCGTCACAAAGGTGTGGAAACTGAGTGGTTAAAGTGTTTGCCATCACGCAGAAGACAAGGGTTCGATTCCCCCACATGGATACAATGTGTGAAGCGCATTTCTTATGTTTGGTGCCCCCCTGCAGTGATATGGCTGGAATAATGCTTAAATTCATGTAAAACCAACTCACCGGCTGTACATCACAGGAATTTCTCTGTCACACCTCATAGGTGTAATCAGAGACCATATACCGATATATGGTCTCTGATGTAATAAAGAAAATATATCCCTTTTTTAAAAGTCTGTCACTGTAGGTTCTAAATCCTTTTATTTTGATGTGATTTTTTTGTTTGGTATCAAATTACTTGTTTTTTAGTCCTTTGTACATTTCCAGTACCTTAGTTTAATTTTACTTTACAAAAATATCAGTTGACTTTGAATTACCTTGCAGGGTGTGAAGTTAATCTATGTCTTAATTTAATTTAACCCAGTAAATGTTTTTGAGTATTTACCATGTTTCCTATGTATATGTTTGATAGCTGAATAGTTGGCAAGTCTGTGACGTCATCAGTTATGAGAAAGAGAGTGTTATTCCACAGCAGAGAGTGGCTGTTTTTATGTATTGTATACACCATAGGCAGGAGGGACAGGCTAGTGTTGGTAACATTTCCCATTTTATAGTGGCATGTAATTGTGGCATTTGGAAATAAGAAGAGACTCTTTATGATTTTTTGGTAACATGTTGGTGTTGCATTGCAGTACGACAAGGGGATTGAAAAATGTAAGGACAATCTGATTTCATGTTTGTAAAATGCTATGAAGATGCTTCCTTGAATATCCAGTGTATATACATCTATTCCATTATGTACAACAAATACTCTGGACCCATTCTATGCCATAGTGGGTGGTCGGGTAGCCTAGTGGTTAAAGCGTACGCTCTTCACGCTGAAGACCTGGGTTTGATTCCCCACAAGGGTACAATTTGTGAAGCCCATTTCTGGTGTCCCTTACTGTGATATTGCTGGAATATTGCTTAAAGCAGCGTAAAATCATACTCACTCACTCTGCCATAGCTCATTTTGAGCCTGATCTGAATGACAAGACACTGAAAACAGATGTCCAATCAAATAACTCTTGAGCGAGAGACATTCTGTGCTGGAATAGTGATTGAGCAATGGAGATTGTCACTTCCGATACCAAGCCATGATGGCGTTGGGTCCAGGGTATTTCTCATAATAGGTATGATGTAATCAATTGGCGGCTTAAGGATCCGATTTTCATCTGTGGCCATGTTGTGGTGGTGCGTTTCACTGTTCGTATGCTGAGGCTGTGAGGCTAACACCATCTGATATGGGATGAAACAAATTAAGACGAGATGAAACAAATGAAGTATTATCATCTTTCTTTAAAATATTGATGCACCTATCAGGTGCCTTTCTCTACTTGAAATAAAGAAACCAAGAACTGGCAGACACACTTTTATTGTGAGAGACATCTGTTACAAGTTAAATCATGCATGAACGTGGAGAAGAATTTTTCTTAAGAATGCTAAATATTCACTTTAAGGTATCAATATCAAAATACATCACATGCTTCTGAAGAGGATAACAGATGATGAAACGAATATAAGCGCATTACCAACTTTGATTGCCCAACATCACAATTTTATGTCCTTTTTCTGAAGGGGTAGTCTGTGATGAAGGAGCAGGCAAAATAAACACTTTACTAACTCACGATGTTTTAATTATGGTAAAATATTAATCTGGAATCGGTGTGTCTAACTGAATGCAGTGTCCATGAAAGATATGCTAAGTAAGCACTGCTTCCACCTCCTGTTGGAGGTGATGTCTTTACCAGCGTCGATGTGGTGGAGTTGTCATGCCGCCTCCCACTGAGCTTCAGTGTCTGATTCACCCTGCATTTCATCACCTAATTCGTAGCGAAGTGATCATCGCCCCTCACAACCAACTGTTATGGTCTCTTCTCGTTTCCGCCACTCGTCTCAATCTTCCATGTTTTCCTTCCTTTCTGTTTGTGAGGGTTTTTCCCAGGGGAAATATTTTTTCAGCAAACATTAGCCTGTCTCGTCTCCCTGGTGATCCTCCTGAGTTTCTGTGTCACTGAGCGTGGTGCTTATGTGTTGTTGCATAAATAAATTGTCGGGTGTATTATACATGGCTTTGTTGTTTGTGTGCCGCCGGAACTACTTTTATCGCTGGTGATCTTCAAGGGAGGTTATGTTGTGATGCGATCAGCTTGCAATTATTATGATAATATTGCAGTCTTATGCTTAGCCGCTTGACAGTATTGTAGATGCATGTCAAAGGGTTATGCTTATCTGTTTAGTATTTGTGGTACAGACCTGGAAATGTTATCATTGCAGCTTAGGTTTTGAGGAAAATGCTAACGACTTTCATTATGTAACAGTAAAAATTGATTTATGGAGAACAGCTCTGACACTTTTTGTGTGTGGATTATTTTACACCAGTATTCTTAAAGGTATTTATTGGTTGAGATGTGGGAAAGTGTCCTTTTGCATTTCATTCAGATTTTATCTTGTATATGTTGTAAACAGTGTGGCCACAGGCTGTTTATTGGCCGCTAATACACCAAACACTGTTTTGTTAGTACAGCAGACTTGTGAGCCAAAATATGTTCACAAACCACTAAACCATAAAATACATATACGCAATGTTATTTCGTCTGTAGCAAAATAGCATGTAAACACAGTGCTAAAAACGTTGAAGTATACCAGCTCAAACTTATTTTATTTATTTAAGCTTTATTTTCAGTGTTATCATATGAACTGTTTTAGCTGAGCTTACTTGACTGAACATAATTTTACTGGATTCAGACTTTGGACAAGTGGTCAAAGTCACAGACTTAAAATATGGTTACAGACATCAAACCCCAATTCCCAAGCCTTGGTAGGGAGATATCATGTTCCTTTTTGTTTTGAAATAAGAAATGTTTGCTTGTTGTTTTTACACCACGCTCTGTAATATTCCAGCTATACGAGGACGGTCTGTAAATAATCAAGTCAGGTGATTAACATCATTAGCATCGATCTACGCAATATGGATACACTGACATGCGACCATGAAGATCCAGGGTAGAACAGGTCTTCGGCAACCCATGCTTGCCGTAAAAGGCGACAAGAAGTCGTAAGAGGCGATTAACGCGATCGGGTGGGCAGCCTCGCTGACTTGGTTGATGCGTGTCATCCTTCCCAATTGCGTGGATCGATGCTGATGATATCAATCACTGGATTGTCTGGTCCAGACTCGATTATTTACAGACCGCCGTCATATAGCTGGACTATTGCTGAGTGCGGCGTTAAACAACAACACTGATGTGCATCAACCAAGTCAGCGAGCATGACCACCCGATCCCTTTAGCGCCTCTGACAACAATCATTGGTTCATGAAAAACAATTCTAACCCGGATCTTCACGGGTCTTTGACAATAACACCCACTCAGACACAGTATACAAACTCCGAGCCGACCAGTCCTTGTTTTATCCACTCATGCTGACCGTCAGGCAGGGCAACGATGACCATCATTAACGTATTTTGGTATGACGCGCCCAGGAGATCGAACCACCGACCTTCCGCTTTCCGGGCAGACGCTTTATCCACTAGACCACGGAAGCGGTCGGTGTTAAAGAGAGACGGTCCTATGACCACAGGTAACAGGGGTTATATTCCAGCTATATGACGGCGGTTTATAAATAATCGAGTCTGGACCAGACAATCCAGTGATTGATATAAGCATCCGTACACACTATTGGGATACGATGACATGCATCAACCAGGACGGCGAGCCTGCCACCCGATTCCTCTTACAAACAGCAGTCACCTCTTATGACAAGTATGGGTTGCTGAAGACCTATTCTGACCCGGATCTTCACACGGGTACTAATTTAAAGTAGCCGTGCTCGTGGGTTTCACCGAAGTGGTAAAAGTCTGAGACCTGCATCACTTCGGGCTTTCCTCCCACATTAAGCTGACACGCCGTGATATAACTTAAAAGCGGCGTTAACCCAACTCACTCACTCACTCACTCAATTAAAGTAGATTTAGTGTGGGGTCGTATACGTCTTTGCTTGGACTATGTATTGCCTGGCATTTTGTATTTCAATATATTGCGATAATTAGGTATCTTTTGTGATAGGCATAACAAAATATTGCCAATGACATTTTTATGAGTTATGCAACTTGAATACGTAAACAAGTGAGCTATTGTTGGCTGCAATGTGCAAACAGTTACAACACCTTGGGCCGCCCTACTGGAGACAAGATCTGTGTTGGCGAGAGTAGTGTTGGATGGTACCGACACCTGTGTTGTGAGACTGCTTTTTCCTCCAGCGTATTTCTCCATAACAACAGCAACGATATACTGCTATGTTTCCCCACTTTCTAACTGCCCTTCATTGTATTAAGATCAAAATAGCGCCATACGTCGGCTTTTCTCCTTCTGTTAAGATCAAAGAAACACACTTATTTACATACATCTCAATACACCGACCCATTTAGATCGTATCGCAATACCTATTGTTGACGGCTTGTATCATGGTTTACCGGTAATACTGTACATTCTTAGACTCTTTGAGCCTTTCATAACACGCCTACCAAAGAAAAAAACTAACGTGTGTTCAAAAACACAGAAATGTGTAAGTTATTTGTCTATGTTGCACACTAAAATATCGACAAGCAGAAATATGAGTAGATTTTGCAAAGTAAACCTATTAGCTGGTGGACGAGGTATGCAGATAACGAGGAGTGGGCAGCACCTGGATGGCATATCGTCGTTTTATGAATACATTGTCGTCGCGTACTCAATCCAGCGAACAGTTTCACTGTGCAACACAGACAAATAACATACACATTTCTATATTTTTGAACACATCAGATTTTTCTTTAGTAGGCCGGCATAACCACACTGCCTTTGATAATTGATGAGCTTGTTCGTAAAGTGCTATCTCATTATTTAGTTGAAAGAAAACAACATGACAGATGACCAAAAAGCCTTTTTTCAAAATGGTTTTATTACTCATGTTGGATTGGAATTGTTTGACCAAACTTGACAGATTCTTTTGAGATGTTTCATACACAATAGGGGCGGTCGGGTAGCGTTCGCTCGTCACGCCGAAGACCCGGGTTCGATTCCCCACATGAGTACAACGTGTGAAGCCCAGTTCTGGTGTCCCCCAACCATGATATTGCTGGAATATGGTTAGAATCGGCGTAAAACCATACTCACTCTCTCGCTCCATACACAATGTCAGCTTCACAGAAACTGCAAAGCATATCAATTTTACAACAGACTAACTTAGTTTCCATTTTGCTGCATGCACTCCATTTAAAAGGTGAGGTACAACCCAGGCACCTTTCTCTCATCAAGACTCAAGTGAGGTGAAATGGGGTTTAAAGTTGCGTTCATGGTTATTGCACTTCTATAACTATGTGCATGCACGTGTGTGTGTGTGTGCGTGCGTGCATATGTGTGTGTGTGTGTGCTGAAAGATATGTCTGCGTGGTTAAGATAGATTGTCCATTATATTTTTCACATTAATCATAATTGAATATAAAACACAAAAAACCGCCAACGACAGAGAATAAACAGTTCCATTGGGAATAAAAGGCAAAATAGCGAAGAAGTTATATGAATGTTTGTTGTTTAACGCATCACTCAGCAATATTCCAGCTATATGACGGCGGTCTGTAAATTATCGTGTCTGGGCCAGACAATCCAGTGATTGACATCATGAGCATCGATCCACGCAGTTGGTAAGGATGACATGCATCAACCAAGTCAGCGAGCCTGACCATCCGATCCCGTTAGTCGGCTCTTACGACAAGCATAGTCGCCTTTTACGGCAAGTATGGGTTGCTGAAGACCTATTCTACCCCGGATCAGTTTATATGTACGTTTTCAGTGACAGATACGGGTTAAATCATTGCAATATGTAACGGTTATTCGTTATCACGAATATTTGAAACAATTTCCCACAAATTTACTTGTCTCACTATCAGGGACAAATCGCGAACAGGGTCCAGCCCTACTGGTAGCACCCTCCACCTACACAATCTGCATAAAAAAGTATGTGTAGGTGCCTGATTCCTCACAGCAGTACCGCCTTGCGACGACGCCATGTAATAAACAAACCAGACAATCAAGTGATGGACCAGAAATCCAGTCACACGATGGCGTATTTACTAATTTTGTTGAAACTTAAAACGATATGTAAATTTTAACTACGTCTGTTATGTACAATTCAGAGAAAAATATGCTTCTTGAGTGAGATCACAGATCAATTCTCAAGCTCAATTGCAAGCTCCTATTTGCCCACTTGTGCTCAATAAATCAATGCATGGTTTGTGTACCTGTCTTAACGGTAATTTAAGGATCACTGACCTTTAGTCTCAGACAGGTGCACATTACACCTGTCACTACGAGGAATAAAGGAAATACAGTAACCTTAGTTACACACACTCGTATATTGCTGTTGGTAAAAGCCTGGCCGAGTGAAGATGGCGTTTATAGGTGTCGACAAATGTGCTCGCCACAGAAATAATATGCCTGGTGCATATTGCCATCATAAAACGCTCGTGCATAGTCAGGTAGCATCAACGCTAGGCAAAAGGTAAGTGACTGTGCTATGCTCAACACGCTTGAACAATGACAAGAACTTAAGCTTGAAGACCTGTCAAACTTTAGTAGTCCACCAATCTGTCAGGGCCGACTACAATTGGGTAAAGGAGTAAATTCGCACTTTGGTTTGAAGTTTACGACACCGAGTTGTTTGTTGATTTTATTCTGTTCGACTTCTGATGGAGATCACAGCTGTCTAAAAGGTAATGAATACGTTATTCTCCGAGATGATCTGCTTTTCACCTGCGTTACTGAGACATGTCGCATGTGGTGTCGACAGCCGTGTCGGGGAGTCTTGCGTAAACTTGGGAAGTTTTCAAAGAGAAGAACAAAAGTTCTCGACAACCTCATGTTGGAAAAGTGCGTTGAGTCAATATCCTTTCACACCAAAGAGTGAACTGTTACAGCTATACAAGTGAACATACGTTATTAAGTCTGGAACAGGGTACAGTTTCACAAAGCAGCCACAAATGTACGCCGCGTCGTTGATGTTCATTTTTTGGCAATGTTAGAAAAA